AAAAATTTTGAAGGAAAAAATTATGACATCGATTTAGTGACTCGATTATTGTTTCCAGACATTGTTATTAAAATACTCTTCGATCTATTTCTATTGGTACCCACACATCAATTGAAAAAGTTCATTCTTGGCCTTTTTACTAAGTATGTTATTGATATTTTTCACACATAATGTCCAATAGATACTGTGGAAGTCTTTGGTCATTGTCTAAGACTTCAACATTTCTTTTGGATCATAATTGTGAAAATGAGAATCTTATTCAAGTTTGAATTCATATTTTTTTTAATATTGTCTTCTCTTAAAATAGATTAATTCAAGCAAGTGAAAATTTCAAACTTCATGACGATATTCATAATTTTCTTCAGCATATATTAGAATCAATAGAGAATGAAACGTATCTTTATAGTTTAGCATTGAAACTTTTTCGACGTTCTCTCGTGCACTTAGAATTAATTCTAATGGAAAGAGAAAAGCAATCGATTTCATCAATAAGTAAATGGTCATTGTTCATGAAGGATTTAGCAATTGCTCTCGATCTAATCAATATTTTAACGAATAAAATAAAACCATACCAATGGCCTGAACTAGTTTTTGCTGGATCGAAAGAGATTCTAGGTGAAAAACTTACATTAACGAAAGAAATGGTTGAAACAGCTCATACTCATTTTGATAGAACTGCTGATAAACAAGTAATGAAATTTATGAATCAAAATATTAAATTCGACGAGAATTCATCATCACATGAATTTATTATCAATTTCATCGAAACTCTACCAGCTGAATCAATTCCTGATTCGATCAAGTATGCTTCATTTACTTGCTTATCTAATATACCATCGGTGTATATACAAACACGTGTAAAATTTCTCTATTTATTCAATATTTTTCTCCAAAGAACTTTGCCAGACATAGATTTTAGCGTAACATCAGGCATAGGTTTTATTGTAGATCGAATTCGATCGGTACGACATTATATATTATTTGTAATAAAATTTGAAATATTCAATACAGCTTTAACTCGAACTGCCGTTAATTTGGAGTCATCAGAAGTAAATATAAAATTCGATATTGTAAAAGCTAGTGTAGCTGAGCATCAAGAAGATACCATGTTCTATCAAGCATATAAACAATTAAAATCTGATGCATCTCGAATATTTCGACGAATGGAGGGTGAACAAGTCTGGAAAGCAACCTATGTTGGCATGTTTAGTAACGATCAAGGCGGACCCTATCGAGATTCAATAACACGAATATGTACTGATTTATGTAGTACACGATTACCATTATTTATTCTTTGTCCAAATGGACGAACAAACAATGGTTTGAATCGTGATCGATGGATTCCAAATGTTTTTCCACCGAATCAATCCATACCAATTGACATTAAAAATCAATATCGTTTTGTTGGACAACTCATGGGTATGGCAATACGTACGAAACAATACTTAGATGTTCGATTTCCAATTTTACTCTGGAAACAATTGATACATGAAGAAGTTACAATTGAAGATATTGAAGCTATTGACATTTCAAGTTTTGCAATTATCAATGAAATGGAAGAAAATATTCGAAAAGTAAAAAGTCTCAATGAATGTGACGATGACGGTGTGAATAACAATTGTGATTATTTGTTTAGTAGTATTATGACTGAACTTACATTTGATGTCGTTAGTTCGACGGGACAAACCTATGAACTTATTCCAGGCGGTTTTCATATACGAATAACTGCTGCCAATTTCGAAGATTATTGTATGCATTATCGCCAATATCGTATTAATGAATTTTATCGACAAATTGAATTTATTCGTCAAGGTTTATATAGTGTCGTACCATGGGCTGATTTGACTGTATTCACAGCTCATGAATTAGAAGAAGTTGTTTGTGGTAAAGGTTATATCGATATTGAAATGCTAAAACGTCATA